GTATATATATATTATTAGATTATAATAGGATTTCTTCTGAAGTCTAAGCAGATATTAAGTTTCCTAGAATATAAGAAAATATTGTTTAATTATTATCTATTATATTAATTACTTCTTTTTAATAATAAAAGATAGAATAAATTTAGTTTATAAAGGATTATAAATAAAAAATAGATTAGATAATATCAATATTACAATTAGAATATAGTTTATATAAAACTAAACTTATATTATTGTTATAGTAATATAAAGATAGTTTTTTATAGATTTCAATACAAATTAATTAATGAAGAACAAAGAATATAAAAGAATATAGAATATTCTTTTATATCTATACTTTTCCGACTAGTCCTCGGAAAGGGATTAGTCTCTACGCGGTGACAAGTAGGGTTAAGGCATTTTGCTTTATATAATTGTAATATAAAGCAAGATTTTTACTTTATAGTATAATTATACTCGCATTATATAATGCCTTTTTATTACGTATAAAAATAATAATATATTGAATTAATTAATCTCGTCGTCGCTCTCAATATCAACTATATTATTCGTTCTAGTTATTTTAATATAATTTTTATATAAATAGATATAATATTAATAGAATTGTGATATTAATAAATATTATAATATTTGTATTGATAGTCTTATTTTTTGAGATCTAGTAATAGTAAGATTCAAAATTTTAGAGCTCTCTCATTGATCAATATATATCACGTGAATTTCATGCAATATAATAACGTATAATTATGCTCTGCTTTATATAAAGGGCCCAACCCTACTCAGTAGTGAGACTTTACTCAGTAGTACCTACTGTAGTAGGTATATATCTAGTAGAGTGAGTACCTAGACTGTAGAGATAGTAGAGTAGAGATCTAATTCCTAACACCAGCAGCAGCTTCATTTAATCAGCTTTACACAATCGGTTTCATACCACACAAGCGTCATTTCATTTGTCAAAAATACACCATGGGGTCCATAACGAATGTGAGATGATTAACATATTAGTTATTTGTGCAAGTAACATTTCTTACTTTACTTGTCTACCTAGGTGACTCCTAACTAGTTTGGCATTTCTTCTAACTTTTGACTCTTACTCCCATTTGTTGATACTTGACAGCTAGCTAGCTACCTGAAGAGGGCACCATTTACCGCAACGACACGCTTCTCCTTGTGTCCATTCATGTCCATGTCCAAATCCCCCATCTACATAGCCATGCTAGTCTCATTCTCATCCTTCCAATGCGCCCAGTGTGCCATAAGTTTAAAGGAAACGCCTCTCCACAGACACGTATATCCATATTACTAGTCATTGCCCTTATAAACATTACTCCCGTGATTCATTCGTGATCTGCCGTCATTATGCCGATTGAGCTACTGGGGCAGCTGGAGGAGGAGGAAGAAACATTGGAAGATAGGTCTGGGAGGTAGAATGAGCAAGCTATCTTTCTGTATCGGGGTATGTGAATCGACTTACAATAACAAGAGCCATCACTGCAGCAGTACAATTAGATTAGCATGGACTTCATATATGAACCTGAGAGAACGAAGATATCTTACTTGACATTCCAACTGAGAAATATGCCGGCTGGGAGGATGTCTTCTTCGTCTCAGAAGATTCGCCTAACCAGTTCTGAATTGCAAAGACCACCGAAGCCCTTTTGTATTTTAGCACATGTCCTCCCACACAACCCTTCGAGAGAACAGTCGTGTAGAAATCACAGCCATTGAATTGACGAACCATCCTATGAGCTTGTTACGAGTGAACATCGCTGCCATTGGCAAGGTGCTACCCAATGTACCACTGAAATCGCTGGGAGATTCTTTCGCTGCTGGAACTTGGTAGGGGATGACTTGAAGTTAAAACGATCCGTTAGTCCCCATGTTTCTGAAAAGCACAGATATGAAAGGTTAGAAATGAACACATACTGAGGTCACCCCGTCGCATGTCTTTTCTGGTCGCCATGGTTGAATTGAGGTTGGTTGTTGTATAAACTAAGTAGTGGTCTAATGAATGAAATGTACTGTCTTATTGCTGCTTATTTGCACGGGATAAGTATGGTGATGGTGATTGCGCTTTGAGCTTGTTATGCATGTCATGAACTGGCTTGACCGACATGGGCATGATGGGGGTAACCGGTTCATGCCATATGGTCGCGTACACTTTCGGGTCTCTTGTGCCGCCCACCTCACCTCATCCAAACACATTTTATATCTTCATTTGTACAATATATCTACTACAAGGTAGTGTACGACATAATGCCATATAAGACGGCGAATACATCTACACCCACGATTGCTTTGACACGATAAGAGCTCTATCTAGTTAGCTTTTACCAAGAGAGAAATTGCGCCTGTGCGACATACGATACCCTATCTTCTAATCAAGACTCCGGCGGCGTTTTTACAACCATTTCGATTACTTTGAAATACTATCATTTTAAAGAGTGTTTAATGATATCTCTATACTTTTTGTACATCTTATAACTTTTGGAAATTTATTACGTTAGAGTCGCAATAGTCGACCACGGCATGGCGCAATCATGACCACAAAACCCCTCGTTGGGTCACAAACCCAACGACAGTCGCAAAGGTCATTGAACTCAAATATTACCTCAAGACCCTCTCCACAAAGAAGTTTGTCGTCTACCTCACCGACCCGAAGACACAATGAAGCCCTCATCGACTTGACGCTTGATGTGCCGGACCCTACATCTGTGCGTTATGGACAAACCTCGAGGGCAGGAGGGTCACGCCTGAAACAGGAAATCTCAAATGAGTCGAGGGGTTCGATTCAAGCGGAAGCTACAAGCTCGGCATCATCAAATGCGATATCAAATAGGCAATATCTATCTCCACGCGGTCGGCCGCAGCTTCATTCCGATGTGCTTCGGTCGAAAGCATCCAAATCCAGTTTGACGCCGGATCAACACTTCAACCAAACATCTGCGAAACCATTTCCTCTCCCTGTTAGACCTGGACAACATGCTCCACCTTTTGTCGAGAAGCCGGGCTCATCGATTGGGTCTTCCGGGAAGAAAGATGCTCGCCCAAAGCCGTATGTTTTAGAGGTTCCGACGGCTGCACCTTATTCACCGAATGGTATGTTCAATCATAGTTGTGTCTATAACATCGCTAACAGCTTCTTGACAGGACATGCAGATTTCTTTCCGTGGAACGGCAACCACTCAGAAGATCAGTTCTCCGAACCTGTCATACGACAAGGCTTCTTCGATAAGTCGCAAATGTCACAGAACGAGACAGGATCGGCAAAAGCCTCCATATATCCATCTCTGAAGCACAAAAGTGGCCTACAAACATTGTCTTCGTTATTCTCAAACGTTCTAGCTCAGCGACGGGCCCATGGAAACATCACAGCCAACTCAACTTTCAAGCCTCCACCACGTGTAACGGTTACAGACACAAAGAGAGAGATATGGCTCAAGGACTTAGCTAACCCAACCATATCGCTCCGTCGCCTAAGTCGATCAATCCCTCATGGAATCAGAGGTAGAGTGCTCCTAGAACATTCTCTTAATAAGAACATCCCAATCGAAAGGGCCGTCTGGCTAGCCAAATGTGTTGGCGCAAATGAACTGAGGTCTTTCAAAAGGAAAGGTGCGGGTGGTACATTTGCTATGGGAGGAGAAGCGAAATGGGTGCGAGACTTCACAGTTTGTGTCGAACAGGTGATGGAAAGCATTATTGGGTCGTGTGGAGAGAAGGACTTTCGTCGCAGGACTTGTTATGCGTAAGTACAGTCATTCACCCAAACACTTGCGCGTCTACTTACGAGCATGACAGGATTCGGTTGGCGGCACATTTTCATGCCGAATGCCTTATAGATCGTGAGCATTACATAGATTGGATATTATCCTCTCTTGAGGCAACTTCTCAACCAAAATTACCGATATGGCTGTTGATTGCCCAAGTGTATTGGGAAGATATTTTAAGATATCGGAGGTTCGGGCGCCGATTAACAGCTACTTTGTTAAATCAATTTTCGGAGGTATGGCACCATATTCAAATCTATCTCCTACATAGCTAACGACACCTGTCAAGGTGATTCGGCATCCGGATGCTGATATATTGAGGCCTTTGAATGATCGTCTACGTTTACTTCTACACGAATTGATGATGTCAAATCCAGACAACTTTGTCTGTCCTGAAACCTGGTCCAAGCACAGGGAAATCCTACAAGCTCATCTAAACTACTCAGATGAGCTTCCCACGACTGTCTGGGATGACATAAATCGTCGTAACATACGTCTTACTACTTTGGCTCCAGATGCCCAGCATCCTCCTCGACAACGCCTTATCGACATACTAGACAAAACTCTTTTTACCCTGTTCACACCCGAGGTCATAGATATTTGCTGGCAGCTTGATGCTGACAAACCCACTCTTATTCATGCAGTTCTGGATTGGTCGACATCTTGTTATAGACCTGGAAATGCAAAAGTGTTCATAGGTGCTCGCATCATGCGATCCTGGAGAAGACTGGGCACTGACGGAACTGCGAGTATACTTTCATTCCTTGACTCCAGTGCTTGCGAAATTGGGCGTAATAAGTCTTCGTTTTATCATCTTGTTTCCGAGCTAGCCAGATCAAATGATTTTTGTATCCCGACATACCTCCAATGGTTGATCAGCCGAGGTGGTATTCATGGTCATTCCGACTTGGCGCCAGACGGTCCTTGTGGGACAAGGCTCCTTGCAGAGCTTCCTATTCACGACTTGAGTGGGGAGATGGTCGCGCTGCGCAGGACTTTACTTTGCAGAGCGGAATACCCAATAGAAATCGAAGACCACAAGATGACAGCCAGCATTTCTACCATAAGCAATCTTCTTCTACTGGCAGCTTCAGAACCGCGATTGACCCAAGTCAATCGCCGTGTTAAAGGCTTGCATGACCTCAGATCGTTAGCCCGCGCAAGCAAATCCCACATTGGATTTTGGCTTCGTCGTGAAGTGGAACTACAGGTGCTGCCATCAAGCACAGCATTGAATAAATGGGATGTATTGCATTCGTCCCGTGAAGCTTCTGTACTCACGGCGGTTGCGTTTGGCATCCTGCGAGACTCTCTTGAAACTATAGATGATTTCTCTATGCTAGCCGATGTGATCAGAATTGCCACAGCCTCAACTGATTCTCAAGTTATTGTGTCGTGCGCCGACACGCTTAATATGCACGCCGAGATCTTTGCTGCGATCGGGGCAATTAAGAACCTGTTTGATGTTCTTCTTGGTCGTGCGCGGTCCTTGGCAGATGACCGCGATATTGTGCCACGAGTTATGTTAGTATCCCTGTTAGATCTTTCATCGAGAATTCCTGAGAACCAGAGCATTACCGCACAACTCGCCCGTCAGCTTGCTCTGAGTGATAGAAAGTGTGTCGCCGAGGCTTGTTCTCCTGTGTCAGATCATATGGCAGCCGCATCACAGAATAATGAAGTTGAATTTATAGACGAAATTGAGAAGCTTCTCGCAAATGGTACCAGTATTGATCGGGGAACCATGGAACGAATATTCCAAAGATTGGCTCATCATTTGTCGGTTTCATGGGATAAGTCGGTAGATCAGCAGCGAAAATGTGTGTTACTGTTGACAACTCTAAGAGACTTCAACCCAAAGCCGTTTGATTTGCTGATGGCGAGCTGGCTATCTCACATTCCAAAATTGGAACACCGACCCAGCATGGTGAAAATCTGTGGCCCGTTGATAGGACTTGGTTGCCTTTCCATGAAAGATCTGGTTAATGCCTGTTTAGACACTGGAAAGGCCGAATTCAACTCACCCCGAAAATTAGGCATGATAGTAGCCATGGAATTGCTTTCTTTACTTACGACCCCAGTACTTGCACCGGAGATATTGACATCAGACGAAGCATATCACATCCGACTCCTGCAAACTCGTATGCATATTGAAAATCCTGAACTGACATTAACGGTCATTCGGTCAGCAATCGAGGCATGCTCAACAGTGGCCCGCGATATGCCATCCATCGCCCTTCACACCTTGGATGTCTTGGGCGGCTCAGTCATGCATGACTTACTCCAGACTTTGGTCTTAATTGGCGGAGATATAACCAGCAAAATCCTGGTGCTACCTTTGTCACACGGGTCTACCGACGAAGAAGCCTTCAAACTAATAGCTACCGCGATCAATAAACTTCTGGTGCCTACATATCAGACTGAATCCTCCAATATTTCGGTGGGTGATGCGTTGAAATTTGCGAACTATCTTAATTTACCATTTTGCCAATTAAAAGTGGCTTCTACTTTTCACTCTGGGAAACCTTCCCAAAGCAATTCTTGGAACATGGTTTCTCCTCAACTTGATGATCTTAATCGCGCCGTTGAGTCTGCTATAAAGGCAGGCGGAACGACCTGGGCCTGCATTGTACCATCGCTAGATTTCACTGCCATACATCACTTACGACGCGGTGCCGAAGCCCAATTACTCGCGCTTTTCCATACTGCCAAAGCTTCAGGCTATAATGACATCTTGGAGGAAGAGCACCAGTTGACAAAAGCAGAAAGTCTGTTGGTCATCCTTGACTTGACTATAGATAAGACACATACCGAGAAAGCAAGCGTGTCAAACACTTCGCCTAATTGCTTTCCGGACATTGTGATCTTACTTAGCGGCGTCTCGCAATACATTGCCAACACACAAAACACTGGTTGTAAAGTCACCTTTCTGACGAAATGGCTACCATTGCTATTATCGTTCACGACCTCACAGGCAATAGCATTGGAACAGTCGAAAGCTGGTCATGAGCATCGTGGAAGAGCAATTCTATCACTAACAACAATCCTTTTGGACTTATATGTCCTCAAAGCTAATACGGAAATTCAATATCTACCACTAGAGCAGTGCTTTGACCTAGTTCTGAATATGGTAGATGTTATCCCTGATGATATTCGTCAGCAATGTGGTCGCAACTTCCGCGAGGCAGCCTCAAATTTAATCATTAGCTACATTTACAGCATTATAGCGGCGCCATCTGACTGGTTGTACATCTATCAAGGAGGCATCCTGAAAAGTGCAGCTGCCGGGAGGCATAGCAGCAATACAAATACAGATCACAACAAAGAGCCGAGTCGACAACTATTCCCTTTTACGATGAAACGCTGGGAGATGCTGGGTGAGCCTACTCCAAATATGGGGGAGAATGATACGAGTCTCAGTTTGACACTGTTTGCGAGCAGGAAAGGAGTTAGCTGAGAATCAATTCTGCTCATAGTTTTATTACAAATAGACATCTATTGGACACAGGGTAGAAACGAGAGGTGTTTACATCAGAGCAATAGTGTATTCAATTAATACTGTTCTAAACTTTTGCCTAGATATGTGTTCGGTGAAATGGAATATCGCCAGCCTAAAAGACTTTGATTACTATCCAGAAACGAGCAATCTCGAAAAGTGTGCTATTTTCAAATTCAACATTTGCACTGCGGGCATCGGAGTTAAGTGCACGAGCGGAGCCTATGGAAGGGGGTACCATTCCGAATCAGAACGACGTAAACTCGCTTGATAGACCGTAACTTGATATATTGATCAGCTTCATGCATTCGTTAAGATGATAAGAGGCGAAGCAGAGCAGCACATACTTTTGTAAAATATTTTGTTAACGCAGCATAGCCTGGTGCTAAAGAAATTTAGGTCCTTTGTTTCGTCCCATAGGTAGGTTAATCAATTGACATTGAGCGTTCTAATGTAATATCATGGCTGTTTAATCATCATCAAATATCTGATAGGTGTTGTTTAATATGGTGTCGATGACACGAACCTGCCACCCAGCATCTTGGATGTTCGGTCCTGTATTAGCACCCATGAGAGTAGGTCCAAATACAATTGCCAGATTGCTCGCGTTCATCCTATTAGACGCCGAGCTCTCTTGGACTCTATTTAAATGTAGAGTCAGAGCTCGTAGAGTAGCATAATTGGGATCAGGGAGGCCATTGATGATGGCATGTAGGGAGTCGCGACGGACTATTTCATCGTCATGCTCTATTATCGTATTAGTAGAGGAGGATTTGTCGGAATGATGGGGGAGATAACTTACTTGCAGCCTCTATAAAAGCGGGGTATTGCCCAACTGTCAGTAAAGGGTCTGGGAGCTCCCGGAAAAATTGTTTCAGGAGACCAGCTACGCTGTTGACATCATGAAAGAAGCTTTCCGGGTTGCAAAAATCCACCTTAGATGCGTCTACAAATTGTTAGCAAGATTGTTAAACCCCCGAATTTCTCAACTTGCCATTATCAAACATGGCCTTGATCTTCATTATATGAGATGCGGTACCAGATAGCCGGTATATTCCTTCAACCTCGAGTCCAAATAGGTCAACAGCTTGAATACATTGATAGACGATCATGGGAACAGCAGAGCCATCTCTCTCAGAGAGCTCCTCGAGGCTAAGCCCAAATACTGGTTTCAGAGGTGCTAGATGTGTGTTATGGCTTAAACCTGGAACTGGTCCTAGCCCGAATGCTGGTCCTGAGGAAACTCCATACGGCGCAGGTGCATGGGGCGTGGGTGCATGAGACGTGGGATTTGGTGGTGTATGTTGTGGTACTGTCTCGCTTTGAGACTGTGGTTGAAATGGCAATGTTGATATCTGAGGAGGTCCATCCGCTCGAGTTGGCCAGGTAGTAAAGTCGGGAGAGGTGGATATTTGGTTCGCGGGAGATGCAGCTGGTGCAACGATATGTTGCGAAAGAGATGGACCATGACTAATGCTTCTTTCGTGCTGATGAGTTTGGGGGGCGCCTTGGTTGAAAGGTTGGCTCATGTGAACCTGGTGAGATGGCTGAGGGGGTATTCCTGGTCCTTGTCGAAAGTGAAGAGTGCTGGGGTCTGATTGGTGTTGAGCTATATGCTGTGCAGGTTGCAAAACCTGTATTCAAAGTCAGAGTCGTCCAAACTAATGCAGCTAGGGATCTTCAGAACTGACCGTGTTACGCTCGTATTTTATTTCCGTGACTCGGGATGGTACCTTACCGGTAAAGCTACTGATGTAGTTGCTCAGGTCGTTGACATTATCGATGGCATGAACAGTTTCACGAAGACTACGATTTGAGGTCCCTTGTTCTTTGGCTCGAATAGGGCTTATGTTCAAACCATTGCTCAGAAGCAATTTCTCGTTGAAGGATGCTGGTTAACGCAATTAGTATGTGTGTAGTATATCCATCCGAGCTTTCATATGCCTCACCAAACTTCTGCATCTGTAATGTCAATGCAGAATCGCATTCCTGAATGAGATCTTCTAGCGCTTTCACTGCCTCGGGTCTTGATTTTGACCAGAGCTCAGTACGTTGACTCTGTGCAGCCTGTACCTTCGATGCATAATCTGCATCTGCAGCCTGAACTTTGCGGAGCAGATCCTCTTCATGTTGGGCTGCTGATTTGGGCCCCTTGAGACCAAAGATCTTTCCCGATTGCCGATCTCCCGTACGAGCTCTGTCATACTCATCCGCTAGAGCATCATACTTTGCCTTCGACTTCCTCATGGCAACTTCGGTATCAGCAGCACGTTGCTCCGCTGTCAATCCGGTATTCTTCCAGTGCTTCCTGCCCTTCTCTATGTTCGATGCCATTTCAATTAGGTCTTCGTGCATCTGATGCAGTGACACACCAAATTGAGCCCCATTCTCGGCCATTCGCTCGTGTATAATGAGAACCTCTTCGTATGACTGCAGGAACGAACCATGCCGATGCTCTGGTTTGCGAATACTATCTCCAGTTGCCTTACACAGTTTTTTCAATCCATTCGAGTGTTCCTCTTCCATAATAGAACGCTTTTTAAGAAAAAGTGCGAATTCCTATTTCGCACACGTCAGCTCCATACCTACATAGGCTTTCGAAAGTTTCGGGATAAATGCCTTTGCGGAAGCAATACTTTGTTTCAATCGGTTTAACAAGGTTGATATCCCAATCTACGCCGTGATCATATAGTCAGCTTTCCTCTAAAAGATAGAAGTAAAAGATCTTTTGACAAGTCACTCACCTCCGAGCTTGTAACATCGCGAACTGCTTTCGTCGTTGCATCTTGAGGAGTTGTCGGTCTTCCAGCTGTCTCGCTATTGTTGCCGTTGTCATTGCCGATGACATTGGGCAATGGTATTGTATCTAGCCCGGCGTCCCCTCCAAGTGACATTTTGTAGGGGAAAGATGCGAAATGTAGCTAGGCGGCTATGTTGTTAGATTATTATGTCTGTCTAAAATTTAATGGTCATGATTCTGTTGTTGAGGGCATTTAAGGTTCCATAGATATGTAGCCAAACCTCGGGAATTTACCCTTGCGACGGTTGCTGGTCATGAGTAACCGGGATCAAGTGACAATCTAATAATAGTTTAATAGTAACATCTTCGCCACAATAAGGCTGAGGCTCTCTAGCCGTGTCTATGGCCGATCAACACCAACAATTCTATCACTACTTATAGATCGATGCCTCGAGATGAAGTTCTCAATTTTGACTGAACGGGACGTACTTGTCACATCAATGACTGCTGCGCGGGCTTTGCTTTGTTGGATATCAAGAAGGAGATCTAATGAATCTGGACAATTTTCATCTAGAAGATGATTGACTGTGTTGGTTGCGTACCCAAGCCTCAATCCAATTATTCAAACCGAAACTTAAATTCAACCAGGAATTCATCAGTGCCAGTACTAGATGCTTTCTCTCACAATCTCAACCTTAACAAATTCCTGAAGTTGTCTGACTCAAGTCTTCATTACAGGGAATCAATTGATGTTGATAATCTCAAGTGTATATCAATATGGACAAGACACCAATGGATGGAACTGGGACGGCAGCTCTATGGGGCTTATTACTTTTGGTTGCGATGTACTTCTTGAGGGTGTATACCAGACTATACCACCTTTTGTGGCTGCTTTCTCCAACATACCTCACATGTACTGGGTCTGGACCAAGAATGCCCACAAAAAACATATCGCTTTGCACAAGAAGTACGGAGATCTAGTACGCATCGGCCCAGATGTTGTATCTGTTGGTGATCCGGCAGAGATATCCCATAGCCATTCACGCCATTACTATCGAAAGATCACTTTGCTGAAAAGTTTATAGTCCGATTTTTATAGTGTCATTCTGCCTTATGACAATGGGAAGGTTATGCCATGAATGATATCGGCCGAGGACAGCAACCTCCACCGCAGCCTCAGATGACCCATTTCCAACATATACTCAATGAGTAATTTGGTTTCGTTTGAAAGGTTTGTCGATTCAAGCATCGAGAGGCTTTGTGCCCAGCTCGAGACATCTTATGTAGAAAGTGCACACTCACAGCACTGCGACTTGTCCTTTTGGCTGCAGGCTTTCGTGTTCGATACCTTGGGAGAACTGACCTTTTCTCAACCTTATGACTTTGTTGAGCAAGGAAAAGATACTGAAGGCGTTATGGGAGATATCTGGTCACACTTCGAGAGAGTATAACTTGTTGGACAAATGCTGTGGATAGATACGTTTCTTCGTGTTAATCCTTTGCTATCAAAGCTCCGCACGAATTCAAGAAAGGGAAATGAGAGGAGAGGAAAGTGCGAGTACCATCAACGATCGCGATCTGCTATCGCGATTCCTCGCAGCTCAAGTTCAAAATCCAGGGACACCTCCATTTGCACTCTTCTCATGGATTGCTGGTAACATCATTGCTGGGAGTGGCACTACTGCCATAGTTCTTCGCTCTTTATTCTATTATCTGCTCAAAAACCCTGCTACTCTTCAAAACTTGATATCTGAGTTTGCAGCGGCTCGTAGAGCAGGTCTTCTTTCGAATTTCCCCACGTGGAAAGAAACGCAAGACTTACGCTATCTCAATGCTTGTGTTATAGAGGCACAAAGAATTCATGCACCGATAGATTAACACCTTGAGCGAGTCGTTCTAGATGTAAAGAATAAATGAGCAATGAATCAACTAATATACTTTTTGATAAAGACTTTCAATTACTTTCTAACTAAGGTATTATTCTAAGGAGTTTAAATACTTTATATAACAATTTATTACATTTCACTAAATTATCATTAACTTTTATATAAAAGATTTCTATCAAAAATCTAGAATAATATCTTTCCAGTATTGATTCAATCTATAAAACCTAAAATACTATAATAATTTATAATAAAACCCTTCTATTAAAATTTAATATTTCAGAAAATCTAAGAATTTATAATAGAATAGACGACTCTCTTCCGTCTACTAACTTGTACTATATATATAGTATAATATAATAGCTTTCTTGGATCATTTTTTTACAATTTAAAGCCTTAGTTTTATAACTTTAGATCTAGATATTATACAATATTTATCACTAAAACTCTTTCATTTTTCTGGATCTAGCCCTTATGGCTTTCAAATACCTATATATATAATCCTTCTT